GGACTGCAGCAGTTTTTCCTCAGCCTCCTGTCTTTCTCTCAGCAGCTTCTGCAGGTGAACGATCTCCCTCTGGTAAGAAGCTGTCCTCCCCTCTGCAGCCTCCTCCAACACTGCCAGCCTGGTTGACGCCTGCCTTCGGTATACCTGCACAAACACACACACACACACATGCAAAAAGGGATGATATGAGGAGTGTTGCTATGAAGAAGGTGGACTTAAATGAAGGACAGCGTAGCAGAGACAAGTGGAGCGGAGGAGGGGGTGTCACACACACTGGGACAAGGTGAGAAGTAACAGCAACACACACACATACGAGCGAGTCTGTAGATCTCCCATAGAAAGAGGCTGCTGTTGTGATCACACTGAGACTTTTCCTCCATCTTCTGATTTTTGAAGTGTTTGTACCTGGCTGAGTGTGTTAGACAGGTTTGCATGAAGGCTGGCATTAAAGGCGCTGTGTTTACAAATCAGCAGCTGTTGCTGGTTGTGCGGCACACACTCATACAAGTGGGATACATGTTACAGCAACATTAACATCTCTTAACAGAATAAACTAAGAACTAGGTTGGATCTTTCCCCCAAACAAACAATGTTGTATGTTTTCAGATTGGTTTTTTGAAGGCTTAAGAAAAAAATAAGACTTCATGTTGCTCTGCATGTGCCGCACTTCTAGTCATCTAGTTGAAGAATGAAATAAACATGTTTTCTCTGAAATTGCAACTAAGAGCTAAAATCTGGATTGCTGGCTTTATCCAATGCTGACAAGATTACTTTATTTATTTATTTTTTTACACAGGCAGCAAAGTGAAAAGCATTTATATTAATCAATATGAATTTGATGCAAATAAGCAAATTGACATGTCTCTAAGCTGCATAATCTAATTTTATTAACCGGAACCTGTAATAAAAGGCTGCTCTAATAGATCTAACGCCAATAGCCAACCCAACCTGTATGGAGTGAGCTTTGGTCCATTATTGTTGCAAGCAAAATAAAATATAAAAATCTATATTTCATATTTAAAATTTTCTCTTTTTTTTATTTCATGTTCTCTTGAACATGCAGATTTTATATTTTTGAATTAATATTTTTCACTTTTTGTCTTTAACAATTTTTTTTTTTTCAGTTTTTACATTTTAAAATGTTTATTTATTTTTTTACAGCGTTCTTTTATATATTGAGTTTTCAGATGACCATTCTTTTAAAATAGCATCCTATTCTTTCACCTCTGGGAGTAAAGATGCATTGGCCTGCATGGATGTTAGCAACAACAGTTTATTCATGGTCAATGTGCTTGTTAAGAGATTTAAGAGAAGATAATGTGAGCTGCAAAATTAAATGCGAAAAGAAAGCAGTTTGCAAAACTCAATCTGAAAAAAATTAAACCTCAAAATAGAAAATCTGTAAAACAAAAACAAGAAAAGTATTCCTACCTTTTTATTGTAAGTGGCTCCATGATATAGTGAACCATATAACAGAAATGTATAAGAAGCTTTGTATGCTCAGATGGTTTACGGAAGAGGATTAGGGCCACTGAAAAAAAAAAAAAAGTTAACTGATTTTTAAATTTTATTTCAGTTTAACATGGGAAAAAAGTCAGAATTCTGACTTTAATCTCAGAATTCTGACTCAATTCTGACAACAAAAAAAGTCAGAATTCTGAGATTAAAGTCAGAATTCTGACTTTTTTCCCATGTTAAACTGAAATAAAATTTAAAAATCAGTTAACTTTTTTTTTTTTAGTGGCCCTAATAATCTTAAAGTACATACTGTATCAAGTCTCTTGCTGATATATTTCAGTGCATTACAAGCTAAACTTGAATTTCCTTATTGGGGTTTTACTGTGACTGACCAACACAAAGTAGTACAGCACTGTAAAATAGAGTAAACATAATTAATCAATGTGTTACAAATACAAGTCAATGTTTAGTGTGCCTCTGGTTTCTCCCACTGAGTGGATACCTTTTTTAGGATTACAGAAGTAATCACAGATTAAGGGGTATTTTCTTTGTCTTTCTGCATTTCTAAGACATATTTTTTACTATTCTTTTAAGCAAAATAGCTCAAATAAATTTAATATAAACAGTAATTTTAAAGATTTACACAGATTCTCAGTTGGATTTAAGTTTCTGGATTTAAGTCTGAATTTTCCGGACAGACTAAAGGCAGGCCCACAGCATGATTCCATTTCCATCTTTCTCTGTTGCGAGATTATAGATTGAACAGAACTCCCTGATGTGTTTACAGATGTTGTTTTCTAACCTACTATAACACTGTTCTACTGTAAAACTTCTCCACAACTCCAACCCTGATCCATCTGCTGGTCATGAATTAAGCAGTAGCCCTGTGCATGTTGCTGATTTTTCTGAAATTGTACAAATGCATTGCTTTATCTGACCATCTGAATGCAATCATCCTAGTCTGTCCACCATAATCTAAAGTTAGTCTGGAGTTAACTGAGTAAACATTTTTGTTTTTGCTAACTCTGATTTGCCAGCAAAACTCCGGTAATTTTACAACCAGTAATTATTTTAAAGACAAACCAGCATATGTTGGAAAGATGTTCTTCAATAAGCCTTGATGTTAAAGCAATATAATGGATTTTTTTTTCTTTATTACAAAAAACTGGGTAGATTAGTCACAATCTTAGTCTAGTTTTGCTAAAAACACAAACAGACAAGTAGGAATATTTTTTGAATTATTCTTTTACTTTGCATGTCTTCATCATGACAATCATCATCATTAAAGGTCATAGATACAACTCTTTTTATCAACATGATCATTAGTTCAAAAAGAATAAACAGGTTTGTTTAAAGTGATGCAGAATAAAAGTATACATTTTACTGAAAAAAAAAACGATAAATCATTCTTATATACATTTTGACAGGTCTGTTGCTAAACTCAACATGAAATGATTCTGCACCAATAGGAAGAGTAGGCATAAGTCATAAGAGACGGAGCTCAAGCTTAGTTAGATCCTGCTAGCTCTGTAAAGACATGGCTTCATCTCGGCCAGAAAACGCACAAAAAAGAAACAAAATGACTGTTAACATTAGTTAAGCTTTATAAACCTTGGTACAAACTCAATACTATCTTAGACTCAATTAGCTTTGTTCAAAATGTGAAGATACCCACACTTTCTCATCTTCATACTTTGGACCTTGTGCTGACAGATGGGTGGCATTCAACGTGAAGAAATAACAGTATTTCCTTACAAACTTGTACACACAAATTTTAACAAAGTTCTCTTCCTCCAAAACAGGATTTCACTTTGGCAAATCATCATCAGATAATGCAGTTATAAATTTTAAAGAGTATGTTCCACTCTCTCTCTCCTCTGTACCACTAAACTATACTGCAGATGGCAACCATTTAATTTATTCCCCTTTACTAATTGTTAATTTTATTGATAGGGTTTCTAGTTCTCTGGGTACTGCCTTAGACAACATAGCTCCTTTGAAAAAAAGAAAATTTACTAATAGTGAGATGGCTCCCTGGTTTAATGCAGAGCTGTGCACTTTGAAGCAAAATGCTACAAAATTGAAGAGAAAATCGTACTCTACAGTACATGCCTACAGGAATCCTACCTTCTCTGGAAAAAATACTTTACTGCTCTAAATAAATTACCCTTTATAAAGTAAGAGCAGGATATTTCTCTTCATTTAAAGATATAGTGGAGGATTTTTGTTAGTTTTTGAAAACACCCAGGCTCTCTACTTAAAAAAAAGTAAATATAAATGTAAATTAAATGTCCGTCCCCCATGCTCTTAGTAATATTGTTTTTATGGGATTCTTTATAAGTAAGATTAATTATATTAAAAATAAGATAATTGGGAGCCCTCTAAATATGATTGCTTTATATCTGGAAGGTGAGGCAGCAGCAGAGGTAACTATAGGATCGGAACTGGATTAAGGCCCCGTCCACACGAAGTCAAACCCTGGCCTAAACGCACTAATTTTTCACCAAACCAGCCTCTCATCCATAAGAAGCCGGCGTTTCGGGGTCTGTAAACAATCTTTTTTTTAATTAAGCCTTCAGAGTGGGAAGATTTTGAAACGCCGTTTTCGCGTTTCCATCTTTAAGCTCTAACCGCATTTTTGTTCTTACACGCATGCGTCATAGCGTCGCCTCTAAACACGCATGCGCGACACAGTATCACAACAACAATGGCGCCGTACTGTGTTGAATGGTTGCTGCTCATGCTACTCCCCCTGCTGTCGGGCTTACAACAGAATCTTCTTCTTCTGGAATATCTCCAGGAAGAACAGAGCAATATCGACCACATAGTTCAGCACCTGAATTTGACTGAACCACGAAAATGGACCTGCAGGGGTTTTCCGGTTTGGTTGTTGTATAAATATTACTGCGCATGTCCAACATTTCGTTGCCTATTTTTGCCTATTTTTGCTTTGGCACCACAGCGCCACTTACAGGCCTGGCATACATTTTGCAGCGTTTTCATGCATTCGTGTGGTCGATCACATTTATTTTACGTCTCCTTCTTTACGACAAACGTTCTGGAAAATATTAGCGTTTTGTGTTCGTTTTGACTTCGTGTGGACGGGGCCTTAGACTTCTTTGATCCAGTTGAACTTTCAGAGTTAGCAAAACTATTGTCTTCATCTAAGCCTACAACTTGTAAGTTAGATCCAGTTCCAAACAGGTTATTTAAGGAAGTATTCCCTTTGATTTCTAGGGACGCAGAGAAGTTTACCACCAAAGCGCAAAGGGGAGCCTATTTGAGAACTTGCGAGAACTTTGGCAAATGGTCACGAGAACTTCGCTGGAGTGTTTATCTTCCAAAACAACAATGGCGTGTCTGCAAGCTATCAAGGTCACCGAGATGGATCTGCAGTAGAGTTGCTAGACATAGAAGAGGATGTATTTATTTATTTAATTTGTCTGAGGCATCGTACAAGTGGTTGTACTTCCAAACCTCTTTGATTAACCTTTTGTCGTAGTTGTCCATCGTAGTTGTTCCTCGTTGTTTTTTTAAATGGCCGCCGTGGCACTGAATCGAGAAGAACGACCACACAGACAGCCGGAAAGGCATACCAAGGACCAATCACAGCTGCTTTTTGTCTGCGCACTTTTGCTTGAGGTCTGCGCAGGTTTGCGGCCGTCCAATGTGTGGTCAGGATTTTTTTGAGATGCACAACAATGGTTGCAGAATCAGACGTACCCTTCAGACAGATCTATAGACTTTTGATAGATTTGAGGTTGATTATATTTTATTAAATGAGACAGTTAAGACCTTTGGTAGTGACATTTTGTCCTACATAGT